TGTGTGTGTGTGTGTGTGTGTGTGTGTGTGTGTGTGTGTGTGTGTGTAGGGGTGTGTAGGGTGAACCGCATTCACGCTCTTACAGGCACAGTCAAGCTAGGTAGCTGATGGGAGCTCTGGCCACCTTTCCAACCCCTTTTTTCTAGACTAAAGGTTTCTTTCCCCTACTGCAGCTGCTTCAAGAAAATCCTACACAAGCCAAGGGGAGAGAAGAGCAAGGAGGGGTGGGGAGGGGAAAATCGAGGAGGTGTGCTCCCTTTCTCCTCCCCACCCCTAGATCCCAAAATGTCCAACCCGGAGCTCTCCTTTTTTCCTTCTATCTGCTCCAGGTTCTCATCTGCTGCTCCCGCTCGTTCCTCTCTCTCTCTCTCTTTCTCTCTCTCTCTCTCTCTCTCTCTCTCTCTCTCTCTCTCTCTCTCCCTCTCTCTCTGTGGGTTGAAAGCTGTGGAGAACCGTCACGGGTGTGTGTGTGTGTGTGTGTGTGTGTGTGTGTGTGTGTGTGTAGCGGGTAAGGAAAGGAGGAAAGGAGGGAGGAAGGGAGGGAGGGAAGAAAGAAGAGAGAGAGACAAGAAACAAGAGAGAGAGAGACGGAGAGAGACAGAGACAGAGAGTGGTTGGCGAAAGCAACTCTCACCTCCCCCAGCCCCTGGGCCAAGCCTAGCTGACAGTCGCCTCCCAACAGAGGCCAGAGGGGCAGGGAAGGCGGGCAGGGGGTAGGGCAAGCCGGGAGGACGAGGAGGCAGCCGGCAGGGGCAGCTGCTCCTGCCTGCGCCGTAGCTGGGTGGCCAGGGGTGGAAAGAAGCCGCCAGCCGCAGCCGCAGCCCCAAATCAGCCCCCGCCGCCCCATCCCACCGTTTCATCTCTTCCCCCCTCGGTACGGAAATTTTCTGTTTCGTTCTTTCATTTGGTTCCCCTAAGCCTCCCTCTCCCCGGGGGGATGGCAGAGACCCTAGGGGCGAGGGGAGGCTGAGCGCCGGTGAGGGGAGAGGGCACAGGAGCGCCTCTGGCGCCGGGTTTACAGAATTCCCCCTTTACCCATTTCCCGAAGTGTCTCCTGCTTGGGGCAGTGACCCCTACCAACCCCTCTCAACTTCGGCTCTGTGCTGGTAGCGCGCCCTGACTATGTGGGTCATCCTGGTGGAAGATAAATTGGGCAGTTTGGAGAGAGGGTCTGTGGCCCGAGGGACAGTGGGAAAGGGAACTCTGGGTCTTCAGGGACTTGTCATCTTCTGGCACAGGTTTCTATCTCTGTCAGAGATAGTTTAACCCGGTGCAGGCAACCCCGGATCGCAGGATGCAGGTTAGATTGAAGTACAAGGGTGATAGAGGGTGACGGGAAAACTTGCTTAGTTTGAGTCTTAGAGTCTGCGGAGACCAGGAGGAAGGGTGGTATCCCTGGACACTCGCGAGACTCTTACATCTTTGTGTCTTCAGATCACTTGATATACCTCTCTGGTCACTCCTCACTCCCCAGGCACCTCTTGCTCTCTGTTCTGAAGGTCTCCACATGACAACCTTTGAAACCCTTCCTGTAGCCTGCTTAGTGGCCTCACCCCTACCACAACCTCAAGACCCTTATCTGCAACCTACAGGCAAGTAGGTGCCTTAGCCTGCAGCCTCTCAAGACCCTCCCCACCCTGATTACCAGATCTTTATTTTGTCTCCTTTCTTGGCTCTTTCTGGAAAATGGGTTGTACTCAGAGCACGCTTTTCTGGATGCTAAGATTGTACCCCAAGCTTTGTGGTTTCCCCCCTGCCTTAAAAAAGCTCAGCTGTCCTTCCTGCTGTGGACTGGAACACACTCTGAGCTGGAGCAGACTCTCAGAAAAAGCCAGACCTACCTTCCCTGCCTAAACTGCTGAGGGGTTCCATTACAGTGCCTCTTTAGTTGAGATTGCTGTGTTCTGTGGGAGAACCAGCAACTTCCCCCTTGTGTCGCTAAGAAAAGCTTTCTATTGTCCTTTCAGCCCCTTAGCAAGGAGGTGGTCCAATATCTTGGAGTATTAAGTTTATGTGTGGAAGGCAGACATTGAAAGTACTACTTTCGGGGATTTAAGAGTCTGGAGCCTGGCAAGGGTGAGGGTGGAACTCTCCTCCCCATACTGCTTAAACACTCAAGGATGTGTTTCTAAAAACTGACTTAGAGGGCAAGCTTTTAAAATTTGCTTAGTTCTGAGACCTTTCTGTCTCCCCCCTCCCGTTCTTAGGCAACTTTACTGTGACCCAGGAAACTCTAAAAGTGCAGCTTTCTGTGTAAGAGAGATCTATGTTGTAATTAAGAGACTGCTTCCTTTGGCTTGTGGGGTAAGTAGAATTTGCTGGCTATGGAAAGAGTTTGAGGGCTTCCATCTCCCTTGGCTAACTTCAGTGCAATTGAGGCTTTTTCTCCAAGTCCAACACACTCAGTGAGAAGGAAATCCCAGGTCCTCTACACACCACAATTGTCTTTGACATACAGAAATTATCTTTGCTTCTAATTTTTGTTGTTTTCTTCGTGGAATTGCATTAAGACCAAAATTTTTCTATTTGAGCCTGCTTCATTCTGCTTCAACACCATCATCTAAACTCTTCCAGATTTACAAATACACAAACAAAATTATATACCAACAAAAATTCAAAGCTCTAGAATCGATTTATTCCAGAACAAGCTTAGTGGATGCTCTCTTAGTGTGAGAAGCTAACTTAGGCATATGTCCAAGCTGTCTGGGCTTCTTGTCAGCCTTGGGACTGGTTGACTCATAGTCTCTGTGGATATGATAATATTTTACTTTTCTCCTTGATGGCTGAGAGCATGTGTCTGTTCAACTCTCCCAAGGTTTTTTACAATAAAAGGCCACATATAGAAAAAACCATTCAAAGCCAAACTGAAAACAACTATCTGACTCAGTGAAGCCCACATCTAGCCAACCTATAGGCTGGTTTGCCTGCACTGTTTGGATTGTTGTATTCAAATTTCTTCACGGTTATGTCTGTCATATTGCAAGTGTGTCTTAACAATTCAGGTATCTTTTCTTTTCTTCATATAACCTTGGCTGCAGTGGGAAGTGGCATATGTAGATCCCAGTTTGGTGAAGCATCTGGCCAAAAAGAGATTAATAAGAGGAACCCAAAGAATAGGTTTGTCCACTTTTGTTCAACTTTCTTAGCTTTGCTAATATTTACATTTGGGGCTGTATAAAGCCTTGTTGCAGAGTGTAGGATGTTTAGCAGTGTGCTTTATGGGCTAGCTTGAAGTATCAGTCTGATCTCCTCCCTTTTCACGATAAAGAAAATGTCTCTATATGGGATGAAAATACCCTTTAGCAGCAAATCAGCTCTGTGTTGACAACTAATGTCATTTGGTAGTGTCCTATATTAAAGACTATATTTATCTCAGTTCTACCCAAGTGGCAATACCTACATCTTGTATTGCACAGAAACCTAGAAAATAGCGAATATTTGAAAGAAAAACAAATAGCCATCTAGAAATTAATTAACTTGACAAATGACTGAATTTATTTTTCCTCATTGCTACTTTCACATTATCATTTAACTTTTGGTAAGTACACACTACCACTAGTGTGTCGATTATAACAATGTTCTTTAAGGAATAGCTCCTATATAATGGTTTTCATTTCCCCCAAAGAAAAAAGTTACTTATTTTCACAGATAAACAATTTCTGAGCTGAATTTAGTCTAGATTTGTCTTCATTTTTCTCTCTGTCCCCCAACAGTGAGTTTTTTCATTAAGATTCTGCCCTAGAAATATATAGCTGTTTGTCTTTCTATTTACCATAATCATACATGAAATTTCTTGTGTCTGCTGTAGACATGGTACATGGTACACATATCTTAAGAATGTGCCTAGCATCAAAATGACCAGAACACCATGAATACTGTCATCAGTTGAACAGTTTGGAGTCAGATGTTTGTTTGCAAGAAAGCAGCTCTTAACTATTTGCCTGAAAGACAAAATCTTAACAATGACAAAGGCAAAGGAAATAGAACAGAATCTAAGAAGAGGTTATTCTTAAAATACTGTGGAGTGTTGAAAAAGTGTCACGGTGTGATTGTAGGTTTTAACACCCAGCACTGTCTCTGCCCCAGGTACTCAAACAACACTAAAGTGAACTGTGGAACTCTGACCAGAAATTCTGCAAAGTGAAATGCAGGAGGAAGTGTGGAATTTCTGTTTTAATTGGCTGAGCACACACCTGCTTTACAAAATAAGGTTCTGGTGAGTCAGGGTTGCATTTCTTGCTTTGGACAACTCCTAGCCAATAATATAAATATGTAGAAATGTGTCTCTTGTAAAGGCCAACACATGGAGCAATTACCACATTGAAACTGCACATTCCTAAGATATAATACTATTGTCAATGCTAATTATTTATTTAATGAAAATTTTGCCTTAATTAGGGCTGTGAATGACTGTAATTGAATATATTCTTTTCAAAGGTATTTTAAGCTTATATCAGAACAGGAACCCTGTAATCAAAGTACAAGGTCTTCTGTTAAATAGTCATTAAGTTTAACAAAGAAATGTAAATAGAAACACAGTTAATGGTTTAGCCTAGGGACTTCCTTTTGCTCAGCATTAAGAGGAAAGCAAGTGGAACTGCCCTGAACAAATATGGAAAGTGGAATGACAGGAGCACAGAATCTAACAAAACACTGGGTCACTGAAAACACTTTTCTGAGGTTTAG